ACACACACACACACACACCCAGGCTAGGCCTTACTAATGTCATTAGATGTTGGACACCTCTTGAACATTTCATTGGTCCAGACTGAGGTATAGATTTCAGCCGCAGGCCACAGATTGTATTTACTGGTTGTTTAATTAGAAATTGGATTCATCGGAGTTTCCACGTTGTGTTAGATTAATCAGTCCAGGACAGCGAGGTGGATCCATGGACCGTTAGACATGCTGTGGAGACACCAATTATAGTGTAACATGTTATTTTACAAACACTGTATTTTATTTTTGCTAAGCAAGTGACTTTAGGAATCTTCCAACCCTGTAGTCTCAAAAACCTCAAAAACAATTAAATGGATTGCAATGAAATTTGGTCTAAACATTCACGGTCATTTGTCTAACTTCAGGTCCTGACAGGATTCCTCTAGAACTGTGATGATTAATTAAGTAATACAATTTTGGCCAGCAAACATGGTTAACAGTCCTAAATGATTTTAGTTTGTTATAATGTGTACTTGTAATGAAATTTGTCTCAAGGAAAGCGTTTTTAGTGAATGAGGTCATTTGGAGTTTTAATGATTACAGATTAGTTCTATTGTTTGTGAACTGAGACATTTTTGTCATTTCCGTATTTAAATTTGGTGCCACTACAGTCTAAACGGCATTGTCCTCACCTTGACCAACTTTCTGCTCAGATAAACAGAACAGAGGTTCTGACAGACAAGAAGTAAATTGAGTAGACTAGTGAGGCAGCCCTGCAGAGAGTCTTTTACATGTTAAATACACCTGAGCATATTTTCTGTCCCTCGTGTACTCTTGTTTGAAGCTACATTTTAAATTGGCAAAGATCAAGGTTAATTTGAATTGGCAAAAATGTCAAGGAACTTCACAAAGACAATTAATTTAGTCCTTTCCAACTTTACCGGACTTTATATGAGTGAGCAATATAAGATGAAAAATGTTGGCCATGTTGATGTTTGAAATGTATGATGTAGGTTATTGGATGTGACCACCGTATTTGCACCTTGTCTCCAAAGAGGTGCCATTTATTTTGTCCCCAATATGTACTTCCTACCTTCCCTGCCTTTGCCAGGATATCAAACACGTGAACATCTCGCCTTTTCTCCTAAAGAAGCTCACATAATAGATAATGTTAAGATAATCTCTGTAAGATCAGCGTGAACTGGTCCTGACCAGGCAGGTCGAGCTCACTCTTTCATTTCCTGAGCAGGCGGGATGATGACAAGCAGGCGAGGACGGTGCAATAACAGGAAGCCACAGGCAGATTCATTAGTTGACCGGTAGAAACATACAGTTTATGGTGCACAAGAGCACTTCAGCAGAACATCTCAAACCATCCAGTGATGTAACCACGAGGCCGCCCTGCCTACCAAACATCTGATCGATGGGGTAGATTTTTCCACCAGTCCAAGCGCTCATGTGACTTATGAGGGCGTAATTTGGCAATGGAGGTCATCCATTATTTAAATGAGCTCCATTTTTCAAACCCCTCCACCCCTAACAAATTATCCAGCAGCACTGCCATCCATCTGACCGGCTGGAGGGGGAGTCAATGATCCATGCTTTGTCTCTCTGATTTCCTCTGTCTTGTGTGTTCTCCTCCTAACCATCCTCTTAATTTTTCAACTCAGATTTATATATTATATATTTATATATTTATCTCTACTGCATGTCTACGTAGGGGGAGTTACGGTAACCTAAGGTTTCAGAGGCTCACAGAGAAGCCGACAAACACGCCTCCAAATCCCAACAACTCGTCATGTGAACTTGAGCGTAAAGCAAGCTGACTGGTTGACCCAACTCCTGTTAAGGAGGTGGATTCAAATTAGAAAACAAAAAGCAAGTGAAAGCTGAACAGAAACAGTCATACAAAGCTCTCCAAGTTCTGTGTGGACAAAACATACATCATTTATAAGAAGAAGGAAAAGAGGTTGGCATTTTTGTGAGTAACCAGCTAATGTTCATACATTACCACCATCTTAAACATGGAAACATTTCTTGGAGGCTGTAGACAACAGATCAACTTCAGCTGCAAATGTCACTACGCCATAATTTAATGTATTTGACAAATGCATTTTGTCACAGTTTCTCTCGGGTTTCCTTCTGCCCAAAACTTTACCTCAAGCAAACAAAAATAGTTTTGCAGTTGCAAATTTGCAATTTCCATTCAGTTCTTTTTGTAATCCATCATAACTTTCATAGAAGGCTTTACTTGCAACCTTTTTCCTGTATTACTATTCATCTCTTTTTGAATCCCTCTCCCTCTCTTCCCTCCCGGCTCACCAGACAGTAGAAATTGGCCTTCCAGCAGTGAAGTCGGGGTGAAAAGCTACAGCGGTTCAGAAATGTTAAAGCCAAGTTTGTGCTTTCAGATAAATATTATATGACATCTCCTGGTTGAAGAGACACCGTCTTCACTCTGTGACCTCAGCTCGAGTTGATACAGTTTACTTACTACCTTTTCGTGCCCGAGGAGGATTTGCTGAGCCAACATGATTCGCTACCAAATACACAACCTCCTCTCCTACTGTCTGCCACTGAGCTGTTAAACCTACCTATCATAAGGTGAGAGAAACAAAAGACATACAGAACCAACATACAGAGCCTCTTAATGTCATTATAACAGCTAGTTCAGCTTTGAATACTAAAAACAAATACAGCCTAAATGTCTGTGTGTACATGGTAATGGTTTGTTTTGGTCATATACCGCAGAAAATCTAACACAGAGAACATCAATTACATTTCCATTTCAGCCTCAATGGAGGTTATTTCCATTATGAGCAGCTATAACTACTCTTTGTAAAAGCTATTCGGCTCTCAGACGTAATCATAAGTTTCACTCAGTGCTATTATTTCTCCACATACAGCAGTAACAGTTATACACATCATTCAGCTTTAACCAAATTTACTAAATTAATGAAATCATATCCACAAGGGCCCTCTGCTGCCCACTCTTTGACTGTTTGTTTGGGCTTCTGTTGAGCCGTGTTGTATCTCCACCTCTTTTAAATTTGTAGCTTTTGTGCATTAAAACCCCCCTGGGCACAAAGACGTGGCCCACAGAAAAACCGAGTGAAGTAATGAGCGATTGAATGCACAATAAGAGGACTGGGGCTGTTTGAGCACTTTGCCTCGAATTGCCCACCTTTGTCTGCAGTGGAAATCTGTGAGCCGGCCTCTAATGGACTGGTGGAGGAAGGAGTTAGACGGGAAGCAAAGGAAAGGAAGGATGGAGGAGTCCTAACTCCAGTGAACCTAACCAAACGGTGCACCAATAAACAAGCTCCATTCTTAACATATGAGCTCCTTCTTAACGACTTCTTTGTTACTGTGTTGTCAGCTACAGACATATTTGTTCTAATGATATCGCTTGTAATTAAAAACTTAGTTCATAACGAGTTTCAAGCCAAATGAAGTAGAGTTCGCCTCTCAAGGTCTATGGTTCTCTATGCTTTTTTTCCTTAGATCCTCTCACACTGGTCACCCTTCAAATGAATGCTTTGTTTAATTAATAATTAGTTGTACCTATATACCTTTTTCTTTTCAATGATCAAAAAACCAACATTAAAAAGATCTAGGGTTCATGGACATCGTGAAAAACCAGCCAATGATGAATTATCATTATTGATTATAACATACTGTGTGTACTCACATATGTGCATGTATGTGTGTACACTTGCTCTTTATTGCACTTGCACTTACATGCACATACACTATCCCCAGTACATATGGTGTGTGTTTGAGTGTTTTAACACAATAAAGCACAAACAGCGGACAGTCTGACCTTAACCCGACTCCCCAGTGAGTCCTGGGGAAAATTTCACCACACCCCGTCTCCCCAGTCCCACCAGCTGAGTGCTAATTTGTCATCCTCAGGTTTGCTGCCACCACACAGCACTGCAGGGCAATTAGGACCACTGTATGAGTCTGCTGCAGAGCGACGGGACCCGCCACCCCTCAGTTCACAAACACGAGAGGGAGCCACACAGTCCTTAAAGCCAGAGTGATTTACTGTGGTTCCTCAGAAATGTTCTCCTTTGGCTCCATAAAGAGGCAGTAATTCAGGATTTTATTGCCACATAACACTAAATGGCCACAATATATCTGTGAGGGTTGATCGGGTTGGTAATCAGTAGCAATGATTGAACCATTAATATTTAATGACCTTACTGGCTTCCAAAAGTAACTTTCAGTCATGTAATGTTTTCAAACTAAAACTTCTACACTGAAATCAGCGAGGGAACCTAAAAACTCTCTAACACACTAACTGGCATTCCCAGAAAAGCACCAGCTGAATCAGATTGAGGAATTAACAGTTTAATTATCAAATGAACAACCTTGCAAGACTGTGTCATCAGTGAGGCAAACATTGTGAGGTTTGTAACAGTGATTTATGTCTCAAGACCATGGCCTTGTTTTTTTCTATCTTTATCCATATCTTTATTTATTTAGATTTTAAAAAGTACTTTGGTTTTGTGTTAACTTTGATAAGCATTCTACCTCATTATAGATTCAAGCTTGTCACATTCAGTGACCCGTTGAAGCAGTAAGCACTGAATATAAATGCTGTCAAGAAGCTACACAACCATCTGCACAACTCTATTTTCCTAGATTTATTTATTTCTTTTGGATACAGTGCTTAAAATAAACACCTTTTCATTGTTTATACCCTTGCCTTTCCTCAAATAATCTCCTCAGTGGTGAAACATATTTAGCCCCTATTCTGGCCCTGGCTAAAGAAAGGCACTGGATGGTAAACCGGGCCTCCAGGCTCTCCTCTCACCAGCGCCTCAGAGGCAGATCAATACCCAGATGAAGTTTTCTCTCTGCTGTAGAATCCATAATTCATACACGCTAAGGTGGTCCTGTATTTACTATCGATCAGACGGAGGTAACAGCAGCAATATCGATAGGCCAGAGGGAGTCGCTTTCACGTCTAGAAAGCGGCTTCTGTCACAGATAAAGAGGTGAGCCCGTTTTAGGAGCAAAGGCAGAGAAAGTGCAGATAGATGCCGCTGTGCAAGGCATTTAACCCCAAATCATCCAGTCAACCTCAACTACGGATACTTTTGTTTTTGTAACATACATATTATTGACATTTGTTAAAGAAAATTTACATTTTGTTTTTAACAGACCATAAGACCATCACATATAATTGTTTGGCAACTTGATTATTTTCTTCAACAATTAACATCTCAATTGTTTTATCAATCATCTACAAAATGAAAGAACATCATATTTCCCAGAGTGACATTTTCAAAGTTTACCAAGCGTCTTAAACCAGTTCAGTTTACAATAAAAACAGTGAAATGTGTGGCATGTTATGTCTTTACATTGGGCCTACTAAAAATTGCAAGTGGTTCACTTTCAATAAAATAAAGGCTCACCAGTGAGGATTGCATACTTGCCAGTAAAATGCCATATCGGGCTCTAAAGAGAAACACATAGTTTTGAGTAAATGGCGGTGGATAAAGACACAGTTTATGAGCGGAAACACAAGGGAGCATTTACATTATCCTGGAGGTTAGTTGGGTGGCGTTATAAGAAACTATGCAACTGCATTATGTCGTTTGCCATAACAACAGCGGACAGCATCTCGCTTGCATGGCAGCTAAGAGGGTCTTTGCTGTTTTTTTAATAACCACCATACAAACTATTTGCATATGGGCAAATAAAAAATTTACTTTAGGCAAGTGCAAATAATTAGCTAATTATTTCATCACTTGTCCACATCACCTCACTCCCTGTCTCTTTCATGTTGAAAATTACTTTTACACTGGAAAACTCTACTCTACTACTATATACTGTGGAAGAACAGCACCCTCTTCCTGTTTGGTAACATAAAATGATTCAGCAGATTTCCCTTCAAATCCAATGTTGAACTGTGTAGTTAATAGCGTAGACTATGTTGAAATACAAAACAAACACGTACATGAATCTATGATTAATGAGTCAGAATTATTTTGAAAGTGAGGGTGAATACCTGGATGAGGAGGCACAGGTAGTGCTGACAGATGGCCGACAGCAGATGGAAGAATGTGTCTTCCTCTGTCTCTGTGGTTCTTTGAAGATTTTCCAGCTGGCTCTCCGTCTTCTGTCTTGTTTTCCAAGATGCCTCAAGGATCTTCAAGGGAACCCCATTGCCTAATAATCCTCAAAACTGCCAACGTTTTCATAGTGGAATATCACAGACGCATGTGGGTGCCAATGTACCTGTGGTATATTGTCATGTGTTTTTATTCCTATATCTCATATTAAATTAGTTTTGTGCAACAAAGTCTAGACAAGCAATCAGTTTGTGATTACCTTTAAGTATCCAAAATCTGGACAGTAAAATTGAGGCAGATGTTCCTCATCGTCAAGCAGCACCAATTGTGACTGTTTTAATGACAAAGATGTACAGATATTTAATATTTCCCCCAGCAATTGTTGTCAGGCTGGAAAAGTCAGTAAAACAGCACTGTGTTTACCTCCAGTATCTCTTATTTTCTATACAGGGGCCACCAAAGACATGGGTAAGATGTTGGGTGGGGAGGAGGAGAAGGACCCGGATGCAGCCAAGAAAGAGGAGGAGCGGCAGGAGGCACTGAGGCAGCAAGAAGAGGAGAGGAAGGCCAAGCACGCCCGCATGGAGGCAGAGAGGGAAAAAGTACGGCAGACCATCAGAGACAAGGTAAGAAACTCTCCTGTGGTTTAACCCAGGGCTTCCTGTAATCTAAGGAGGTCAAAACTCCAGCAACATTTCACATCTCTGTTGTCAGACCAATGCATTTCATCAGCCGACCAGACTCCACTACGTAGCAGATAATCATAAACTAACTATACATAATTGTTAGAGTTAGATGAGGAAATATGTATGTCCAATAAAATTGATTGTTTTTACCACTGACAGGCTCAAATTGTTATTCTACGTGTCTGACAACATTATCGAAAGCATGCCTACAGAGATGGATTAGCCGTTACACAAGTATCACTCACCACCAGACTCCATAGACAAAAACAGTCATTTTACCTTGCATATCATAACATTGTAACTTCAAGTGGACAGAAACAAGCCTGCACTACATGAAATGCAGCTGAAAACTATCTTTCTCTCTTTCCCTGCATATCCCCTCTTGTTCTCTCTCTGTTCAGTATGGGCTGAAGAAGAAGGAGGAGAAAGAGGCGGAGGAGAAAGCAGCCATGGAGCAGGCCTGCGAGGGGTCGCTGACACGCCCGAAGAAGGCGATCCCGCGGGGCTGCGGGGATGACGACGAAGAGGATGAGGAGAGCATTCTCGACACTGTCCTCAAGTTTCTTCCAGGACCTCTACAGGACATGTTCAAGAAGTAAAAGAAAAAAAACAAAACAAATCAAACGAACCCTAAATTCAGGGTCCAGTCTGGCTTGGGCTAGGCTGCGGGGCAACGGGAGGCGGGGATGATTGCGTTGGGAAAGGGTTGAGTGAACTTGCAGGTTTGGGGAAAAGAGAGACTGGGGGGATTGGTTCGGGTATTTGTACGCAGGCAGGGTTTGAGTGTAGATTCGGGGCACGTAGGATTTGGGAGGGGGGTTATTGCCAAACTGTTAGAGGCTACACACTGCCTTTCTAGAAATCTTTTACTTTGTTCTTTTCTACTCCTCGACGATTGCGTCATTCTTCCCCTTTTTATTTGCCACGATTGCTGTACAACCTTTCAGCTGCCACTTAGCACATTTCTTACTATTAGTACGTTTTGTGTCCTTTTCCTGTTGTTATTTTTACACAGATTGAGGCCAGACATTTCGATTGGTTGGCCATCATCTGTTGCTAAGCAATGGTGACCAATGGAGAACAGTATTCCCTTAAAGAAGGGCAGCGGACGCCTCTGTCCTCTCGCTTTTGTGGTTTTTCAAATGGCACTGCCACCATGTTTTCCAGTAGATGGAGCATGTTGTGTTTATTTTAATAGGTGTTTTCTACTTTTATGAACCTGGTGTAGGTCTTTATATTGAAAAAAAAAAAAGAAAATCAGCATTTGAGTTTTTAGGACATGTGCCTTCATACCATCTCCTCCAGCAGAGGAATTGTAAATGAGGGTTTCATTTTCAGTCAGACAAGTGTACAGCATGTAGACACGCGTTCAAGTATACTACGTCGGACACTTTTGGAATAATGTATTTGATATCAAGTTGGCTAGTTGGCATGTTTTGGGGTTTCCAGAAGCCATCATTCAAAGTAGGTACTTCTGGAAATCGTGTGAAGGTCCAACAGTTTACAAAACTATCCAAAAAGAAATTTTTACAAAAGCTACACTTTCTAAGCCCGTCAGCTAGTTAGACTGAAAAGTTAAATTTACGATCTAGAACGTGTCAAGAACTCATGTCAGTATATGAATTTTCAATCACATGGATTTTAGAATAGATTTTACTGAGCTCAAGCTATCATCCCTGCAGGCAAACAAGACTCATTTGACCTTGTTTGAAACCCATTTGAAATTACTGCTGTTTTGTCCAGAAATTACAGATTTACAAATTAGACATCATGATTTTAGGTTGTGTGGTCCCCATAGACAATCAAAGTATTGACCACTTGGAAACAGTGGGGGTAGCCGGTACTGTACATGTTGTCATATCCTGTCATACCATCTATGATTGCTTAAAAGTGGGTTCTACATTAAGCACTTGATTAACTGATTGCTATTAAGTGTCTCTTAATTTAAACTATTTATTTTTTCTTCTTCATACATGAATGCAAATGCCAGGCAATGTCTGGATTTTATTTTATTTTTACTTAACTACTTTTTGTGAATGTGCTGCCAATTTCTTTTAATGCAACTGAAATTGTGATTGAATTCACATTCCAGCTGAGCTAACCTTTCCACTCACCGTTTAATGCAAAAGTTCACCTTGATCAAAGTTCATCAACATCAAGACCAAAGAAATACTGGTGAGACCTTACGATTTCTTTTGTCACCGCCGAGACAAAGACCTGCATGCCGAACCTGGTTTTTATCGTGCGTGCGAGGAAACGCCCGTTCAGTGTGTGCATGCATCCCAAAGACCACCACTAAACTAAAATGATACTCTCCTATTTCCTCTAAAATATTACATGGCTAAATTAAACTAGATCATTTAACTGTAGACTGAGCCTGAGAAAATCGGGCTGTGAGTCATCGCATCTCACTGCCTGAAGAGCTCACTTAGAGCCAAGTATATTCTGCATCCTGCATCTCTTAATCCAATGAAATATCATAGTGATTTGTCATATAGCATTTAAGTAGATGTGCTGTAAATGGAAACAATCTCTATTTAGTGAAACTACCTTAATATATGGACATTTATCAGTAAAACAAAGCATGTTGGTTATTCCTAAATGATCTGGTGGCTTTTCAGTGGTTAGTTATGCGACCATGTATGATTAATACATTGTTCCACAAGTTTGTAACTTAAAATAACATTAAGATTTGATAAGACTATTGATGGAGTTGGCATAAGCACTATAAAAAGCATTTTCCTTTTTTTTTATTTTCTAGTTCAGATAGGACTTTTCACTAGACAAAGCCATATTGTTTAGATTGCAATAATTACTTAAAATTATTAAAAAAGAGAATAGTTCAACGTCGAAAGTTAAGTGTCTCATGTTTGTTTTCTGTAAAATTAGAGAAAAGATTTGCATATCTGTTTGTAAATCCTCGCCATTCTTGTATCTTTAAAGATGTATACGAATGTATACACAGAGAAAATGTATGTAGAAAAAAGACGCCATTGTTATAACTGTCTCAGTGTACTACATGTGTACTGTAAGTGTGTGTGTGTGTGTGTGTGTTTATATGTGTGTGTCTTTCTACATGTCTGTGACGTGAGACCATGTTGTTGACTCATATAGTCCTGGTTTATACTACGTAAATGTGTCTTTGAACTATTTTGTGCACAGGCTGAAGCTAGGGCGGCTGCCTAGTTGTTGCCATGTCTAAAGAAAAAAAAATACTTAACACATTCCTTTCAAATGTTGAGCATGCAAAATGTTTGGTAGAAAAGAGAATACACCAAATATCAAAAGACAAAAAAATAGACTATTTCCTGTTTCTGTAGGAGTCTCCAGGCAACAGAATCTGTGCATTGGATCCAGAAAGGTGAGCTGTGCAATGGGCTTGTTGAGTGTTCGATGTTCTTTGTTTTCTGAGATTTGGTGAAGCTTCAGGCCGTGATTCCACAGGAGCTTTAGCTGAGACACAGCGCTTGTCTGTGAGTGTACAAAAAAGTCCCAGTTTTGCACTAAAAGTTTGTAGTTGCAGTAGTAGTGCGGTATCACATTGGAAATGTGGCAAAATTAAGCATACTCAGAGATGTCAGACTGAGTTTGCTTGCTTTATGAGTTGTTGAAGGTATTCAATCTTCAGACAAATAATATGCTTTCTTTCTTCTCACATTGGTGCACAGAAGTCACAGTTAGGTTGATGTCTGTTGTTACACAAAACATTTAGATGATTTCTTACCAAATTAGTATGGTCAAATACTGTATGCTTTATTATTGCAAGGACGTTCACAAGGCCGGGCTAAATTTGCCCGGGCAACAGCCTGTTTGCCCCCCTCTGGAAAAGAAAAGGAAGGAAAAATAATGTTTTTGTTTGTTGAGGCTGCATAAATACAAGTTAGACCAAGTTAATGCACCATATTATCAAAACTTGTATTACTTTTTGACACGTACGCATCACGTTGCGCAATATTTTTTATATTATGTTGTCACATGAACCAATATTAGCTAGTTAACATGATGGCAGCAGTCTACATGCAATATTGTGCAACATAACGCAAACGTGACAAGCTGAGGAAGAAGCTCAGTCATCACAGTATGGTCATATGGTTAGCCTATTTCCATGACCACTAACTCCAGTTTGTACACTTTTTTGTGTCCCTTCTGTGAAATACGATTGAGACCTGTTGGTTAAGACTAATTTGCCAGACGAATTTGATTTGAACTTGAACTTGTGCCAGTTGGGCTAGAAATCATCCTGTGTGCTCACGGCCTGAAAACATCAACTCTGAGATTAATTGAAGGCTTTTTAAAAAGACAATGGGGGACGTGCAATTAGAAAAAAGAAAGAATAGATACTGTAACTAAATGATTTGCTTTTTGATAAGCTGTAGTACTAAAAATAAAATTTTGATTTAAATGTAAAATACATCATGCAAATTGTCATGTCTCTATATAAGAGACCAACCTGCGGAGAGATTTATTTTAATGGAGCCGCTTTGCTCATTATCATACCACCCATGTTGGAATAATGCATGAGCGTCAGCAACATAAATTTAAATGGTTGCAGTTTTTAGTGCAGCGTGCATTGTATGAGTCGTCTGAGGAGAATTACGGTGATTTATTTCATTTATTGCATTAACACAGGGATTCCCACAAGTCCTCCTGCCAGGTGCCAGGCCAGTTTCACCTACAGCACGTGGATTAAGTTTATTCAAGCTTTGTATCTCCCTGGTGGATGGGGAAAAGGGGACATAAATCCTGGACTATAGGCTTAATTCACGTGCCCCTTCATGGAAATACAGCCATACATCCTCTGTATGTAAAATAGTCTCTCAGCGGGACTCGTCTCGAGGCGTCACAGCATGTGAACTGCCTTTGAAAAGGGCTATTACCATGTCATCTGTATGTGAGGTTAGTGGTAACTCATCTGTCGCACATCTGTGCTTGTCCTGGCGTGAAGTGTTGTTTTAATTCATTGTGGTTGCATGAGATACTTCAGTGTGGAAAATTGTGTTTGTGGAGCCGCTATGGCTTTTCAGTTTAGATAAATCCTTGGGTTGATAGACACTAGTGTAAAAGCAAGGAGTTGTTGCTCTAGGGGTAAAGTGTTAGTTTACATGGAATATATAAACTGTATATTTTCCTACACAGACCTAGTGGGTGAATGAGAGGGATGAAAACTGTGGAAAAGTGTAGATTTTGACATGAAAGGCCTCAAAGACATTAAACAAATACATCAAATCTTCTCTAAAACATCTTAGCTTAAAGGTTACCCTTGTTTGGATGGTTTTAGGGGAGACTCTGGATTATCAAAGCATCTTCTGTTGTCAGGAGCCCAGAAACATTCAGAGAACTGAGAAACAGGCTTGGCTTGAAACTGCCATTCAAAACCACACATCCCCCCCCCCCCCAAAAAAAAGAAAAGATTTTCCATTAGCATTGGTGATATTACAATCTATCAACACAAGAGAATTTATACCGGCAGCGTGCAACCAACATGTCGTAAATGTTTACTTCTTAAATATAACTATGATTATGAAACACAATGAGCTACTGAAACGGAGAGAACATTTTAGGATAAAAACCTTCCTTTAAACTTTATCGTTCTATCCAACTCCAAACAAGGCTGGACATTTCAGAACGCTGTAATGATGTCATAACGTTTGTCTTTTTCGTAACATTTTTACGTACATTTACAAATATTATTGTAACTGCCCTGCTGATTCCTGCCAGTAAATCCAGAAGTGAAAGTTTACTTTCCCTCCAGTGGAAGTTGAGATTTTGGTGAGCTCTTGTTAGCTCTGAGCACAACTGTTACTGTGAAGAGAAATACATTCCAGTCTTTTTGGCATTTGCACTAGAATACGTTGAAATGTTACACTAACAACGGTTATGGCATCTAATGAGTCACTATCAACTGCCTGTATTTTTTAATTTTTTAACGCCAGCCCTCTAAACGGTAAAGTTGAAAGGTGAGAGGTAAAATTAAATTAGCCACCACCGTAGAGGTAATCCCTTTAGTCCAACACAATTGGCAATGTTCGCAAGTTTGCTGATGATGTGACCTCTTCACTGTCTGGTAAGGCAGCTGGAGACCCCATGTGGAGGGGCTGGAACTAACACAGACTATGGTAAACAGTGGAAACTGGTGACAACAAAATGTGTAAGAAAATGGGGGAATCGATTATACAAAAAAAAGGATTAAAAAGGGATAAACAATTGAAAAAGGGAACCGATGTTCCTACAATTGAATCAAGAGGGTCTTTCTTTTTAATTCAGGGTGAAAATAATTTCAGGCTCCAGAGGTTAAGAATGTAAAATATGAGTTCTTATGCTATTTTTTCCTTAATTGCATGTCATATACTCTATGTGGAGCCCAGTCACTGTAAAACTGTCTCATCGATGGAATTGAATCATTCTTTTTGGAAACTAAATGCATAACACTAATAATAAAAGGTTTATAAAAAGCTACCTGTGTCTTTATTCTGCCTTTACTTCAGTGGTACTTACTCACAAACCACATTGGTTTCATTGATTGCTGAGAGTTCCTCGGGTGTGTTTTCTGTTACATGATCTAAAATGTCTCAAATTGAGTGTGGATGACAGCTTTCAGCCTTTCTAAAAAAACAAAACCACAGTATCAAAAGTGCAAGGAATGCTGGGCTAATTGGCTTAATTGGGTTTCAGGCTATATATCCCTATTGCATATTGTTGATACATATACTGTAGTTTGTTCCTTACTGGATTTGGGACGTTTATCCAAAGTACTTATGATAAATAATCTTTACGTCCTTACACTTGAGATATGAGAAGTGACACATTAATATCACTTTACAGATAATGGTGGAAAAAAGATAACATGATTTTATAAACATGCACTGTAATAACACTAGCCAAACCTGTAATATAAGAACAATGCCACATGGATTGGCAATTGATGCTGATTGTCTCAGACCAGAATTTAACATCTATCTACAGTGCTGAATTAGCATTATATAAGTTCATTTGTAACCTACGTAGCAAGCTGGAGGTGTAGCATTAGGCTAACCAAGGGGCAACCCACAACACATTTAAATAGAGTTGTGAAATTTCCCATCTTATTTATTTATCTCCTGGATGATGGGTTTAAGATATCAGATTTTGTTCAGAATTTTGGCATGCCACCATCCGGCACAGGTCTAAATACTACGAGATCCATTAGCTTGGGCGGCAGTTGCCATGGAGAAGCTTGAGGCCATTAAGAGGCATGAATTGGCATTCTTCGTCGTCACAGCTGAGAACAAAACACGGCACCACAGTTGATGAACAAGGGAGAAGGTCCATGGCAATAAAAACAGACAATATATCCAAAAACATTGTTAGATGTTACAATGTTCTGTTGTCCTATAGAATTCAATTACATCAATAACTTTTACTGACATTTATTTTCTCTTTATATTTCTATATTTGGTGTTGAGGTAATCCTAAAGTAACAGAAAGTAATTAAGTTTAATATTGTGATAGTTGGATTGGGTTACTGACTCTTTTTATTTACTTAAATTACATTTTTAAAGTAACCCACTGGGTTGGTTTCATGCATTGACACTATATATAAGGTTTCATGTCCAAGCAAGCAGTAGAATGGCTCCACCCACTTTGATTCAAAGCAAAATGGCACCCATTTATCTGTGAGGGAAGGACAACACATACATTAAACACTGGCGAACCTATAGTCATACACTGAAAGTTTGTCATGGATTTGACCTCCAATGGAGCCGAATCACCACCACAACTGCCATGACAGGAGCCGCTAAACTGCAGCTAGCTAGTGAGGAAAGAATCTAAAAAAGCTGCTTTATTTGTGGCAAGAGGCTAACTCGGAGCTGTCCGACTGCCCATTTGTTTTATAAAAATTAAATTCCCCTCTGGCTGATGAACTTTTGTTTTATTTGTCTAAGTTTCATGTGTAACGTATTCAATTAATTATTGATTGTAGAATAGAATAGAATAGAATAGAATAGAATAGATAATACTTTATTGTATTGTATTGTTTATTAAAACGGTTCAATTTGCATTTAGGGATTCTGTACCTTCTGCCACAAGGCAAGAGCTCGTAGTAATTGTAATGAATTAAAATTGCAATATGCTAATTGGGGCTGCAGTTAAAGGTAAAATGTGGGACAAAGAGCATTATAATGATGTACTCTATTTCAGTCCCACAAATCTGGTTCTCCAGATCTAAGAAATCATTTGTTTAGTACAAGAGAACCCAGCGAATGTCACATCATCATGATTTAATTAGATTTTCACTGAAAATGAAAAATATGATGAAAAACTGATTGTTCCCACTAATCATAAATCACATTGCAATTGTAATATCTGTCAACAATAATCACAATATGGTCATGTAACCCTAATATGAATTAATTAAAAATAAAGTTGATTTATAACCAATTCATCTCTACAACACCTGTAAAAGTGGGCTATTAGTTTGATGTGGAGAAATACTTTTAAGTGGATACAAAGGTGTTTTGAAGAAAGAAAACCTTTTAGACAATTACTAATAAAGCTGATTCATGGCTGAGGAAACCAGTATTCCCGCAGTGACTGACCTTTTTAATTAAAGAAATCTCCTCTATAATTAAATAGTTTGCTGCATGTTCCGGGGTATTAATGAAACTCCTATAGTGAACATTAATCACCAAAGGCTCGGCCAACAAACATTCACTAATCCCACAAAAAAACCCAACCATATGCAAAGTGTGTGCATATGTTAGGGGTTGATAATGTATGATCGCAGAGACCCAGGGCCTCTAAGTCACTCTGTAAAGTATACAGTCTACTGCATTTGTTTAAAGGAATATTTCACCAAAAAGCCATGAGTTTAGTGTTAATTCTCTGATTTGAAAGGAAGAAGTTAGTTTGCTCCTGTTGATTCCATTCCAACTGCAACACAGTTTCATGGTGAAAATTAAAATGTCTTTATAGACTTTTCACAGCATAATCAATTCTCTATCTGTATGCTCAGTATTGGCTGATAATTGTGTTTTTTATAGTTGAAAAAATAGACTTTAAACACAGTGTAAATGAGTTTGCCAGGTGATACAAGGCCTCGGTTTGTGGGAAGAGAAATCTGTATCTGTGTTTTTCTATAGCGGTAGAAGGTAGTAGTGATGGCAGAGTTGTTCATTTCAGTTGCCCAAAAGCTAAAGTGTGATATTAATGAGCTTCTGTGGTTGATCTCAATGTATGAACAATGGTGTGAAGCTTGTGGCCGTTCTGGCTCTGTGTTGAACAGACTTCACTGATAGGCGCAAGTTGACAGGCAGAACAGCATTTATTCAGCAGCGGAGCATTAAGAGGCTCAACTGCAGCAAACCGTAGCTTTTTTTTTTAATACCGGACCAAACAGAAAGATATATGAATCATACACAGTATATTCACTGAAATAACTGATCATAGTTTCAGCTGCAACTGCATATTCCGCCTCATGATACAGACCAGTGTTGATATTTTGTATTATTTATTCATCTTTCCCTGACATCAAAACTCGGTTTAAATTGTCTAACCTGAACCAGACCGTAACCATTATTTATTTACCACACATTGAAAATAAAAAGAGATATACACTTGTAGTTACTAAAAGATGAATACATCAGAATGCAATGTTTACAAGGTTTTCCTCTCTAGCATCAAGTGCAAAAGTAGCCAGAATGCTTCACAAAGATGCATTGTCCTTCCAAGCTGAGCTGCAGCTAACAATTCTTTTTATTTTCAGCTAATCTTCCCATTATTTATGCCCATTATTTTATTGATTTGTCGATTAACTTGACTATAAAGTGTCAGTAAGTCCTGACAAAATCCTGCCACAATGTCCCAGAGTCTGAGGTGACGAAATGTATGGATTTGTCTGAACAACAGTCCAAAACCCAAAGATATTCAGTTTAAAAAACAAGTCACACACAAATAGCAACAAATCTGCATTTAAGAAGCTGGAAGAAGTGAATTCTTCTAATTTTTTCTTAAACAATAGATTTTTAAAAAGATCACAATTGATTTTCTGTAGATCCTTTAATCAATTAATCCCTGCAGTGTGTTCTGAATTTGCACCACTTAATATTGATATTCACTTGTCACGGTCCCATAAGGTGAGCCTGGTCAGTAATAATAATAATAATAATAATAATAATAACACCTTTATTTATGTAGCACCTTTCAAAACAAGTTACAAATAATTTTACACACAATTGAATTGAAGACAAGAACAAACAATTAATAAAATATTGTGATAAAATTCAATGAAAGTAATAGATTACTTAATCAGCCTAATCAGCTTGTTATCATCTTACAAATACAGATAAAATCTTCAGTCAAATGCCATCCTGGAGAAACTAAATTCCCGTTTTCATGTCCTAACAGTGCTCCCCAAACAGCCCATCAAAAAGCTTCAGTTTATTCAAATTTCAGTTCATAAAGAAAGCCCAACTCCACAGTATGTAATCATTTATTACCAAATGTGGGAAAATGTATTACATTTTGTCGAGTTATTGCATAATGTGTTGTCAGAAGCCCTCATTGACACCTTGCTTCAGGCTCACTATATTTCCATACATTCACACAGAAACAGTCGCCTGCTCTCTTCCCGAACTTCCAACGTGCCTCTCTTCCCCACGGCTGCCTCAGTCAGTGTATTGTCGCCGATGAATTAACAGCGGCTATTTGCTCTTTTACAGGCTTGTTAATCCTGAATGAAAGACTCAGTGACAGATTAGTGTGTGTGTGGGCTGTTTGTAATTTCCAGAGACCAATAGAGTTTTCTCTTTAAGGGACTTTGAATGACAGATGGCAGGGACGTGGTTTAGTGTGTTTCTGTTTCCTGAGGGAAACTCAGCAAAAGGCATTTACATTTGGAGGGAGAGAGAGGGGAAAAGATTAGCTGTTTATTTCAGCTAATGCTTACATTTAACGGGGACACTGTAAATGCCAACAACAGAGGTTGTATAATAGTGTGTGTTTGTGTGTGTGCATGCTTGTTTGTGTGTGTTCTTTTAGTCTTTTTTTCTGAAGGCAGGCCCATACACTGTCTATCTTGTAATAGGTGTAATTATATTCCCACAATTTTCTACTCAAAGCAACAAAACAACCACTCCTGTATTTCGGCCCATGTTTGTTTTCTGTGAAATAAAAGGTATGCTGAATGAAAAGCTGTTCACGTGGACAATACAAGGCTTAGTACAGAATTAAATTGTCAAATTAATTGCAAAAACAATGTTAATAGTGATAATAATAATAATAATAATAATAATAATAATAATAATGGCCTTGCAGCCTGCACACAATAACGTTCAGGTTTTCATTAAATATCTGCAGTACGAAGGACCCACAGCCTGCAAGCTGTTTGTGCATCCAAACATGAAGCTGAAGGCATCAGTAAGTGTCCTCTGGATGTAGTTT